ATATATATATATATATAGTATATATATATATATATATATATATATATATATATATATATTATATATATATATATATACCGGCGGTTTCAACGTGTGCTACCAGAGCCTGCTCAGCGTGAGTTCGATTCGCACTGTCACCGCATGCAAAGGTCAATCCCGAAACACAGGTATATATTATGCTGCACATCGGCTATGTGCAACCAGTGATGCTGCGTATTTCAGTTGTCAGTTAGACAGCACCTCGGCCCAGCACAGCAGCATGTGCGATAAGACAAATTAACACGCTGCCTGAAAATTTCAAACTAATTGCTGTCGAGTTTTACGGCTGTTTTCGAATCTGGTTGATATGAAGGTTGAAGGAATTTTTGGATTTTATGTCCAATTCAATTATTTTTTATAATTTTTATATAATGTCCATTGCATGTACTTCTTTTGTCGGGCGTATTGTAAATTGTCGATTATAAGGTTTAGGGACAAACTGTTATTTGGTATGATTCAGAAACTTAATTCCCCACTCGCAAAAAACAGAAGCACGACCGATCGTTTAATAGTTTTAATCTTGCACATGGCAATCGTAAACTGCGGTTGTTTTCGTTCGCCCCAACAGACTGCATGCCGAGTGTTAGAGCGCCGACGGTTCGCTTCGTCTGCGTGCGCGGCTGCGCGATAAGCGACGGCGCGCGAGTCTAGGTCTGACGTCGCGTGTCCCCGGCGACCAGTTACCTGCCGAACGACGGTATGAGAGCTGACGGCAGCGAGACGTGTGTCGGTGACGGCATTCTCCGCACACCTTGCCACTGACACTGACGGCGGCGGCGGCGGCGGCGGCGGCATTTTTCATCATGGCGCTCGCATTCAGGTGCGGAGCTGCCGAGTGATTAGGCTTCGCGTTGTCACCATGGTGGTATTTCCTGCGACCGAGCATCAAAGCGTACCTCCGCCGCGATGATTCCCTACAATCGAACATATTTTTTTCCAATTGCGTGCGTCGGGATGGTGGTAGTGGGTGGGGGTGGGGCGGACGGGCATGCGGTGGCGGCGACGGGGGAGGGGAGCAACGATCTACTTCTCGCTGCCGTTAGCAGTTAATGGGTTGCGCTGGGGGATTTAGCTTGTCCGCTCGGCGGGCTCGTGATATTGCTTTTGAACAAGGTAACTCGCGTTTAATTAAAATAAATTCCGTCGCTTCAGTGCCATTTTGCCTCGCCGTAGATTTCCCCAACGTGCCTCTCGGTGCTATCGAAATTAGATACTTTTCATCGAATCAACACTGCGAATCATGGCCGCCGAGCGATGTACCGGTAGCCAATAGGCGTGACAGAGATAAATAAAAAGAGAGGGGGGGGGAAGAAAAAAGAGACAGAAAGAACGAGAGCGAGAGCACTCGACGGGTGGATAGATTCAAACCTTCTATTCGTGACGAGGCCGCGTTTGTGCGCGGTAACAAAAACAAAGGTTATATGTGTCTCCTTCGTTAAATTCAAGAGTAGTTAGTTTTCTACACGCGTGGCAGCCACAGGCACTTGGAGCGTTTCAATAAAATATAACGCTAAATAAATACGAAATCTATTTACTACCAAAGTCTTAATGTTTCTATACTCTCTTTCACCTATTATTGCCGACAATTTCCTGCAAATGCCGTCCAAATGCTCATCTGCAACAAACGCTGGCTGCCGCTGCACACTGACACATAAGTATTTTAGCATTATATTTTATTGAAACGCTGTAAGTGCCTGCGGTGGCAGCCGTAGTGCGTAGCTTATGCATGACATCTTATCCGCCCTACTGGGCGGACGGACCTCGCGGTCACGCACGTGCACTGACGCGCATGCGCGCAATGTTACGGCATTCGAGTCAATCGACGCCGGCGTGAATTTACGCAAACACGCAGCGCTGAGATTCGCATATGCTGGCAATCAGGAGCACGTAGCAGCAAAGGAGGAAATGCGCGTTTACACGTGTTGCTAGTCAAGTCGAAACGTCTAGCCGCACAATTTTGGCAGCTTTTCACTGGTGGAGGTATGCATAGAGCACAGTCTTATAATGTTCTGCGTGCCATTTTCGCAGTTATTTGTAGTGTAAGATAATGTAAATAATGTTATAATTAAATCGGAAACCGCTGATGTGCTGAATTTAAATCGAAGAAGCTTTTAAAGAAAGTGCTTCAATTAAGCTAATAATCTAGTTAGCAGTCACAGGATACTGGACTCAACAACCGCTGTACGTCCCGACTAGAAATACACACCCCGGGGAGATGTTTTTATTATGCTGTCGCCTTTCTTATTTGGGCCTATTTAAAACTCTTGGTGGAGATTAACAGATCCATCATTGACGGCTTGCATGCTAATTGACAATCAACGCATACTTTAAAGTTAGCTTCACGGAACACATGATGTACCCATCTGTAGCCCCTCTCTATATAGTATCTGTACTTATAAGTACCTTAGTGCGTGCGCACATGTCTGGAGGGAAACGAATTAGGAATGTGTGACAGGAGGGGGAGAGCGGTCGTGAGTATGCGTGTGTGCGTGCGTTCGTTGGTGCGTGCGTGTGCGTGGTGGTGTGTGTTTGTGTGGCAGAGATGAAAGGCCAGATCATGGATACGAAAACGAAGAACGGGTAAGAAGCAGAAAAACACGGGGGGAACTGCCGCCTGGTATTATGATTCCTATCTGTATCGTACACATCTATTCAGTCCTTAGTCAATACATTTCTTCATCTTGTCCTTATTCGAAAATGCCACCCACTTATTTTGCCCCGTTCCGACGTTACAGTTGCGCACAGTTCATTGTCGTGAGCATCTTACAGTAATACATGAAATTGCACTTAGGAATTGTTTCTACGTTGCTTTTGTATCCATGCCAATAATACACTTGTGCAAGATGAGTGTTGATTTATACCAAATGGGTATGAAGCGAAAAAAAACTTAAATATGGACCTTAAATCTTTGATTATCTAACACGGATAAAGTATATGAGACGAAATTCTCTGAGACATTTGAATTAATTTCTGTTCGATGTTGATTAAAGCCTGCTGGCTATAGACACCGTGTACTGTTGTACACTACCTTTACGGCGAGGCACGCGTGCAATCATGCCGGGCGATGATGATTGCACGCGGAGCTTTCTCACGGCGCACAGAGCGTGATCATCGCTCTCCTCTCTCTCTCTCTCTCTGCATGTCTCTTTCTCTCTCTCTCTCTCTCTCTCTCTCTCTCTCTCTCGCTCTCTCGCTTTCTCTCTCTCTCTCCCTCTCGCTCTGTCTCTATCTCTCACTCTCTCTTGTGTGTCTCCCCTTCTCTCTCGCTCACGCTGTCTCTCTGACACGCACGCACGCACGCACGCACGCACGCACGCACGCACACACACACACACACAGAGAGAGAGTGAGAGTGAGAGTGAGAGAGAGTAGTTCTGTCTGCGCGCGATTACTTGGGCAATTATAGCCCAGACTTGCTCTTATTGACGCGCATCAAGCAGCGTATTTTTATCGCCGCCGCTGCTACAGCCTAACACTGTTAATTAAATGACTAGAGCCCCCCCCCCGTAATCAGTCTCGTCGTGTCCCTGCCTCGCTAATGTGAGATGCGGGCGGAGGGGGGAGGCACTGCGTTTACTCTGTGATTACCCCGCTGTACCTAGCGAGTTACTACGTGTTGACATTCACATTGAGATGGTTTTCTTGTTTAAGCTGCAGGGCAACAGTGCAAATAAACGAGGAGTGGTGTTCGGTTGCAGAATCCACACTAGCCGATTAAACAAACACGTGACCTCGCCATTACAGCACGAGAAGCCCTAACAAATCACACAGTTATCGCGGAAGAAAGCGCCGCCGTCTTGAGACATGTGACCGTCTCTGTCGTGAAATAAGTCTATATGCTATGTAGTAGTTTAGATCGTAGTATGTGTCTGTGAAGTCTGCGTGAGTATCCCTGTATAGCACACGCGTGGCCCACCACGTTGCCCCATGATGTGTGAATAATTGTCAGTCCTGTGTCTTCGTCAGGCACGATTGTAGTCGTTTCTCGTGTCGCCTTTTCGTATATATATCTCTCTCTCTCTCTCTCTCTCTCTCTCTCTCTCTCTCTCTCTCTCTCTCTCTCTCTCTCTCTCCCTCTCCGCCCTCTCTCTCAAAATCCCCCTCCCCTTGCTTTCTCTTCTTCTTTTTCGAATTCTCGCTCTGCATTCCGCGCGATACGATCCGCCCGCTGCGACTGCGACCGGTGTGACTCGGTCACACGTTTAAGAAGAGAAGAAACGAAGAGAAGAAACTCGCGAGGACAGACTCGCTGGAGGCGCCCATTATGTGCGCTCGGCTTTTGTGCGCGTCGCTTTATACGGCGCGATGATGGGCGAGGTTCCCCATAGCTCGCCGACCGTCGCTGCGACCGACGGATCGCCTCCTAGCAGAGGTGAATCGACTGAGAGAGGCGAGACGCTGTCTGACATCGCCGGCTATTAGCGGCCATTGTTCGTGTCGCAGCCGCCGTCAATCGGCGAGCATGTGGGGCAGTCCCCCAGACATCAGCCCCAATGTGCGGCGAATTGGTATCTTCGATATTCGGTTAGCGCCACGGCATGGCACCCACTGTGGGCGTGCATGCGTGCGAGTGTGCGTGCTGGTGTATGTATCGCGTATATGTATATATATATACTTTGATGATGCTGTCATCACCAGCAGCGCCCAGTTGGACCGCGGTTAAACCACGCGTCAACGTGTTCAGCGCGCATTCATTTCACATTCATGTTCAGAAACAGTCGTCTGTTATTGCTCACTGAGTGTTTTGTCTGAAAACAATGATCTCTCGTGAAATTGTTGCCCTAATGAGTCAGAGCGTGATATCGACGAGGTATATATGTGAGCGAGTCGGAGCGCCAGCTTCCTAGCCTACCCCGCTTCCCGGCGAGGCGTCAATAATGTGCACCGGTCTGTTGTCACGTGCAGGCAGCCGAACAAAGACATGTAATTAGTAATTACTCATAAAATTATCAGTGAAATTTCGCAAATAGTGCTCAGAATTACGTGCGGGTCTTTTAAAGTGATAATTTCAAACAGTCTTCTCGTATATTCCCGACATTTCGTAACAAGAAGTGTCCACAGTGCGGCTAATATGTCTTAGAACACTCGTACATCGTTACTTTCCCCAAAAAATATGCAACGTTTGAAATTTTGTTGTTGACGTCTCGTTGACGCGGTTCCACGATGATGACACCTGCGAGACCTTGTCGATACGCGTAATTTACAAGTAATAGAGACGTTGTACGAGTCTATATAAACCCATTGTAATTTTTATACTAGAGTAATTATTTAGCAACATGTTTGCTAATAGGTGAGCTAACTTGTCTACATTAATTTATTTTTCGATTTATTTGAGAGATATTTTTGATATAATATAATATTTTTGATAATAAGTATGGCGGGTGCGCGCTTCGCTCGGGGACACCAGGCGGCAGCAGCATCGCGGTCCGCACCGGCTGAGTTTTTATTTGCCGTGGGATCCGTCGTGTTCGGGTAGAGAGGAAGTGCTGTGTTGTGTCGGCCAGAGCCGTATATAGAGTCTCTATATACGGCTCTGGTGTCAGCGAATGAACACGCACGGGGTGACTCGCAGCTATAGGGCCTGCATACCTCCCAAATGGCCATTGGTTGACACAAATCTAGTTAATTTTTTAATTAAATATTAATTAGGGTTAGGGTTAGGGTTAGGGTCACAATGCACCATAAGTTTTATTAACACAGGAGTTTCAGGCACGTGATTTGTATCAACCAATGGGAGTTGGGAGGTATGCAGGCCCTAGCTGCGAGTCACGGGGTGTGCGTGTGAACTTACACTCCAACGCACATAAACTAACACGTAGTTTTGACGGAGATATCGCCTAGCTGTTAGTCGGCGCGTGTGCGTGCAGATGTAGCTTTACGTTATTGTCTCGCTGAGATGTGGTGGTGTTATGGGCAGTGATCTGCACAGGTTGAGTGATAACTGTTGCGATGTCACTTCACACAAAGCAGCAATCAATTCCGATGTGTCATCGACAGGACGCGATGACTGCGTAATACGTGGGAAGGCGCAATTATTCAGAAATGATTCACTGGCGTTGTTATTGCCGTGGCATTATAATGTGCACGTCATTGCGTGGTGGGGTTGGGCATATCTAATGCCGATGATTAAGATGTAACAGCATTAGGCCTGGTAGTAGTAAGCGAGAGCTAGTAATGAATATTGTATTAGTGCGTGGGATGTTAAGAGGTCTGTCTGAATGCAGGTGTGCCGATAACGACGCAGTGGGGCCCGCAAGGTTACTTCTACGCCATCCAGATAGCGCAGTACGGGCTGAGCCACTACAGCAAAAACATCACCGACAAGAGTCCCGTCGTCGTCTCCTACATGGACAGCGCGTCCATCGACAGCGCGGCGCGGCAGTGGAAACTGCCCGACAAGAGCAGCAAGCTGAGCACCGTCAGGGATGAGGAGCTGAAGCGCAGCGTGCTGGAGTTTCACACGTCAGGTGAGACCCGGCAGGGGGCCGACGCAAATTGGATTAGTCCGTGAATAATTTACGCCGTAGTAAGACGTTTTAGTTTTTTACTTATGTAGCAGTTTTTTGTGCTAGTAAATATAAGGTAAATTAATAGGGTAAAATGTGTTGTATATACTAAGTAAGAGCATCTGCACGTGAGAGCTCGTCAGCGGGATCATGGTAACCACAGTCCGTAGCCGAGTCAAGTGAGACACTAAGCGCCACGTTCGACCATTGAACGGTGTAGCCATGTTATGTCATCTTTGTACAAACTATACTAAAACTACAACTATGCTGCCATGTCATTGCAGACACACTCACAAGTCCCGGCGTGATGCTGCGCCTCGACCGTGCCAACGAGCTCGTGCTCTCCACCCTCGTCAGCTTCACCGGCAACGGCAGCCTGGCTGTCAGCGTGCAGATGCGCGACACCAAGGACATCTACACGTTACACTACGTGCAGAGCGACACGGTGATCAGCGCACGCGGTCGCGCCGTCTACTACGGCGTCGGCGCGCGCACACGCTGGAGCCGGCTCACGCGCGACCTCTTCATTGACCTGCAGAAGGGGCTGCCGCTCATCGACCGCTTCTCGCGCAAGGTCAAGCTGAAGAACCTCAAGGTCGTTGCCGTGTTCCTGCGCGGCGGCGGCCGCGTCGCCGACCTCACGCTGTCGACGACCGAGCATCTGCGCTTGTTCTTCCTCGCTGCCGACTGGCTCGTCGCCAACCAGGACGAGAACGGCGGCTGGCCGATCGACGTCACGCGCACGCTCATTCCCGGCGTGATGGAGCTCGCGCCGGGCTGGTACAGCGCGATGGCGCAGGGCCAGGCGATGTCGGCGCTCACGCGCGCCTACTGGAAGACGCGCGAGCCACGCTACGCGGCCGCCGCGCTTGCCGCCGCCGACATCTTCAGCGTGCCTAGCGAGCGGCGCGGCGTCGTCGCGACCTACATGGACAAGTACCGCTGGTACGAGGAGTACCCGACGACGCCCAGCTCGTTCGTGCTCAACGGCTTCATCTACTCCCTCATCGGTCTCTACGACCTCGGCGCGATGTGCGGCGGCAGCAGCGGCGACGGCGCGGTGTGCACGGCCGCGCAGGCAGCTCGCGTCGCGCGGCTCTACCGCGACGGCATGGTGTCGCTCAAGGCGATGCTGCCGCTCTTCGACATGGGCTCCGGCTCGTCGTACGACTTGCGGCACGTCGTCGTGCCGGGCAGCGCCCCGAACCTGGCGCGCTGGGACTACCACACGACGCACATCAACCAGCTACTGCTGCTGACGACTATTGATGACTCGCCCGTGCTCAAGAACGTGGCCGCGCGCTGGATGGAGTATATGAAGGGTAAGCGTGCCAAGCACAACTGAGGCTCGCATGCTGGATGGAGTATACTGAGGGTAGCATGCCAAGCACAACTGAGGCTCGCATGCTGGATGGAGTATACTGAGGGTAGCATGCCAAGCACAACTGAGGCTCGCATGCTGGATGGAGTATACTGAGGGTAGCATGCCAAGCACAACTGAGGCTCGCGCACTGGATGGAGTATACTGAGGGTAGCATGCCAAGCACAAATGAGGCTCGCGCGCTGGATGGAGTATACTGAGGGCTAGCATGCCAATCAACGCTGGCGTGAAGACATCTGGTCACACGACCACTGACAGAAAGGACCACGTGACGTGTCCGGTACCGATAAAGTCATCGACCAGCAACCACTGCGACTCAGGGTGGAGTGTAGCGCCATGTTCCGTCTATCTTCTGTATGGGGCACACGTCATCAGTGCAACCGGACCGTCCGCGTGTCTGTAGCAGAGCCGGTCGGTGTAGGCAATCGCACATGTAAAACAACACACCAGGAGGAGAATCGGCTCACTGTCGTGTGGCCAGTGTAGCTACAACCTCTCTCTTAAGCCAAACTTCTGCTGCACATGAAAAAAAGTGTGGTTGTAGAAAAAAAAAAGTTGGTTTCGGTTACGATCCTATCCATAAAAAAACTGTGATGATTTCCGACATAGCATGGCTTGTAGTAATTCACGCGTGCGTGTAGACAGAAAATATGCTTAATCACTTCCACTGTCCAGCGCCAGGTGGCGGTAGCGACCACCACAACCACAACCTAGTCCCTTTATATAGATATCTTCTCTATAAAGGGACTCTACCACAACCACGGCACATTATTATATTTCACAGCATTTCCCACCCTGAAAATTTGTAAAACTTGGTTATTGGTGGGGCATACTAATAACTAATAGTGCAGTACATGTAATTTCACATCTGGGATATACGAACACTAGTAGTTGCAGATGCACAGCTATTTTCTGTGGGAAGAATTTCTTGGCAATATAAGGCATTGCTGAAATCACAGACTATTTTAGATATCAGAATACAGTACTATATGCTTTCAAAATGAAAAGAGTGCATGTAAAATATGCTTTTAAAATGCTTCCAGTGACAGTTGCTATGTGAATAAAATTCCAATTGTACATAGGCTATTGTCAGATATGTCCATTGTTGCCTGGAAAGTGGGCTAAATTCATGTGAATTATTTTTATGCTATATATTTAAAAAATGGTTGGATATATCAATGATATATTAATGTAAATAATATAATTAAAGCACAAATATTGTTACTGTTAATTGTATTTAAAGGGTACGTGCTATTATTTTAGAAGTGACGTACCTAGGGTGACACATGGTATTTCATGTCTACTGAATTTTACAATTTATTTTAACCATAATGTTATATTGTTAGGCATTATAAAAACATTACCATTTTGATCCCAAGTATATTTCTGATGTTCAGTGGCATGAGGTCACAGCAGTGCGCTTTGAGTTACAATAATGTTACAATGTAAAATGTCATGTAATTTCCTCAAAGAACAGTCACAAACTCATGGTTGTGAGTAAGAGTGTAATTTTACTGTAAGGGTACTCCGCGGGCCTGCATAGGGAAGTTGATGCATTTATACTGGCATTGTTTCGCTTTATGTTGGGGATGTATATCATATATCCATAAACTAGAAAATACTCAATTTCAGAATGTAGTTTATGCTCCACATTGATTGCAGCATGTACTTTTTATGCATTCAATATCAATATTGACAATATTATATAAATCATAATACCTAGGTGAAAGGAACTAACCGGCAACATTGTTTTATCATTCGATGTTCATGCTCATGTCTGTGCCCGACGCCGAATGGCATATCGCTCCTGGTTTTACACTGATTTGAGGGTAGTGAGTGTGTTTACAAGTGTGTGCCTTCCAGATTCTACTAGAAAATTATCGGCTAGGGGCCTAGGGTTTACGTGCCCTGTGCAAACAGGTGGCACCCCCATATTCAGGTTGTTATTCTGGCTTCTGGTATTATAGCAGCATTCTAAGTGGTTCTAGACAGGCTCTTAATCGGTGCAAAACGATTCCAGGAACTAGCGCCGATAATTTTAAAATATGTCGCAATTTTATTTGCACTATTTTCGGTTCTGGGGGCGATACGTAATATGTTCAAGAGCTAATAATAATAGGTATTATTAGCTCTTGATATGTTCATGGTATCAGCAATCACGACCCACCTGTAGCAACCCACCTGGGCATTCATTGCAAGTGGCAGTGGGGAAAATCTATGCGCGTACAAAGTGAATACTATGTGTCACAAGAGGAATACAATTTTTAATAGGCATTTTGCAGAGGCTGCTCGTCAGCATAGATGGGGAAACAACAAGACCAGATCGTCCGTGAAGGGTTACTACGTACGGGCGATACAATAATGGCTTTGCCTGTATGGGCTACATCTTTTCTGTACCATTTATCGTGTTCGTTTATCATTATGGGAAACTGTAAATAAAGGACGTACGCAGTCGGTGGTAAATTTTGAACCATTTGTTGGGTCTCTTTCAATTGGTAAATAGCGCAAGAATGGAGAATGCATCGCTGGTTGACTGAGAAATAACTGGGAAAATGGGATAAGATGTGGGAGAGGACGTAAGCATAATATTCTGCTTTATATTGACTATCGCACATGCTATTAACACAAAACGTTCCATACCGATTACCAAATAAAACTTGGTAGAATGGGCAAAATATTTATAGAGAGGTGGAGGAAGGGATGAGTGAAGGCTGGACGATCTGCAGCCGGATATCCGCGCGAAGCGCTCAAACGCCGCGTAGCGGCGCATTTTAGCAATTTCGCTGCCTTTTCCCAACGCCAGTATACGCCGTGCCTTCTAGGGTTAGGTTAAAGCGGCTTTTCGCTCTCATCGGCAGTTCTGCGCATTGCACGAGGAGATGCGCACTGCCCACGTTTAGGTTAAGAGATGGCCTAGCAAAAGCTCCCAATTTGTTGTTTCGCTCACTAGTCCGGCGCTTTCTATTGCTGTAAAACTGGAGTAATTTTGTTCACATCTGCTAAACAATATATTAGCAGCATATGCGGTAGGCATGTATGAATGCGAGCTTAGAGGATACGATATAGTAGGGGGCAACGAAGGCTGTAAGGGACTACGCGATTGGCTTACGGAGTTTTTCGGGCGTTCGCGTTGTCTTGCGTTTAGCGGGGCTCGTCCCGGCTATTTTAAACCTCTAGGTAGGACTTTCGTACATTCCACACTGCTACGAATGACTTCTTTATTACTACAAGTACATGTTACAATAATACTAGTATTAAGCCTACGTACTACTCTGTAGCTAGTACTACTAAGTTACCAGCACTAACTAGCTGACTATAGTATAGTTATACCAGGACGGCAGCTGTAGCTAATGTGTAATAGTAAATGTATTACTAATTACTAGTTACTAGCTACTTTAGCTACTAGTACTAGCTACTACTCACTAGCGCCTCCAAAGAAACTGCCTCGTTGCTTTAGCGGTAGCAAAATACCCCTATATCTAGACACAGGCACTTGAAGCGTTTCAATAAAAATATAATGCTAACGAAATTACGAAATCTATAAGTATTTACTAGCCAAATTCTTAATGTTTCTAGTATAGGTCGCCTACTCTCTTTCGAGTAAGCGTTGCGAGGTGCAAATGGCCTATACTAGACTAGGACATCGCTCCCACCGCGATTAGCCATTCGAGTGACTAAGCTAGGGAGGCGAGAGTGGTGAGCCGAAGTGGCCGAGGGTCTATGGGCTTTTAGGCGGCTGGGGCAGGCCGGCCGCGCACTGCGTTGCAAACTCCCTGTACGAGGCCTCGCCATTTTGCCAACGTTGTGCCAAAAACGCTTGTTCCTAGCGTTGGTGCTTTCGCGAACAATGAGGTCTACGGAAGTTATTGTAGCCGCGGTATGGTGTTTCCTTATTTCTGACAGCCATCTTCATTACTGGGCACATGGTTCGCGAATGTTCAGATATTTTACAGTCTTTCTGTTTAACGTCTGCGTGACACCCAGCTCCGGTTCACGAACACCCATCTACTCGGTTACAGTTTTTATAACAACGCTGAACACTGTTCACGTTCAAATGGTCTGCCCTCTGTGTCCCCACTTAAAATGCGGTGAGGCCTGTTCGTGGCAGGCCTACCTAGATTCTGTGCGCGGCTGGATCGCATTCGGCGCACGGATCCATAGCTGCGCAGCGCGTGCATACTGTCGTAGGAATTTTTCCGCTTCCCCACTGGTCGCGTGCGCCTTGGCCGCGGCAACTGCGCGAAGACGCCGCAGCACTTCGGATAAACACGCTCCTTTCGGCAACGCTTCTCTAGTATCCCGTCTCATCTGGATGGAGAGAAGGTAACGATGAATGGATATAAGAATGGGTGAGCTGGGTGAAGACAAGCAGCAAATGTAAGTACAGATTCCGATAATAGGGTATGATGACACACGACAATAAATATCTATACACGTGTTTTACAGGATATCTATGATCACATCACGCAAAATCGCTGTACACAAGCAATCAGCACTCATTTGTGAATTTACTGGAAAATTTCGGCTGGTTTGGGAGTGCAGTACCAAAAAGAGAAAACTAATAAATTGCCATTGTGAACACGTCACCCATGTGCATTCATGGCTGTGCTGTACGTTATTTAACTAGCCTCAAGTTTTCCTGCCGTCATACACTGTTGTCCCATCCACAATACCAGCAGTCTCCCGTTTGCAACAAGACGTTTTATCCAGGTATGGTGCAGAAATTTCTATTCGAGAACTTCCTCCTTGTTTTCCTCGGGTGAGCCAACGAAGTAAAGGTGGGATGAAGGTCGAGAAGAAAGAGGAGATAGTAGAGAATGATGGTAGAGGCAATGAAAGTAAAGGTGGCGAGTATGTGGAGGAGAGTGATATGGAGCAGCTAGACCATAGGAAGCGCGAAGGAATGTCATTGAGGGATCGACATTATCACATTAATTTACTCCTATGTGCTCTACTGTAAATTTAAAATATCAGCAAAATAATATCTCGTTAATTGCACCAATCGTGCTTAGGTGTCACAAGAATTTCTCATGTGGGTACAATGGTATACAGCAGTGAAAGGAAGTAAAAAATAACATTTTCTCAAATAATATAAGCGTGCCAGCCACATGCTTCTGAGTATCATTGCTAACATGTTTATTCATACATTTTACAGTTACACGCTCCGCCCAAATATAACAGAGCGACAATTACAAGCAATGTTGATCAACATTGCATGCCTATTAATTATTGCTACACACAGACGGTGCACCAATGTCACATTCGACTGCAATCATGTAAACACAGCTAAGGCTCGCTCATAGATTAATCAACCATGCGCAGACGTCTCGTTTCGCTATATCAGCTGTTCTCATGGCATAACATTTGCTAGCATGCTCACATCAGGATCGTCACACGGACAGCGGCACTACTGCAGTGGCTTCGTAGTAGCCGTCACTCGCTGTGGTATACCGCTGCGAAATATGCAACTCTGTTATAACCAGCTCGCCGAACTCATAGTCCACAAACTCTTGCATCAGCCTCCTGGCATCGAACGACTCTCTCGCGTTGCCCTCGGTAACCTCGGCCTCTGCATCGCGTCGGAAGATCGTGTTCATGACGGTCACGTGAAGTTTCACGTGTTCGTGTTCACGCTGTCGCTGCGTCAGCCCCGCGTCCGCGAAGCTGCTCACAAGCCCGTCGGCGAGCGACTGCAGCCGCCCACTCGCATCCTCCACCCTTGCGTACAACACGTCCACGGCGCTAGGGTCATCATTCATGTACTCGACGCCCCGGAGAGTAACCGCCAGGGGGTGCTTAGCATCGTCAGCGAGCTGGCGGCAGCACTGCTGCAACGTGTGAGCGGCGCATTGCCGCTCCGCCTCCGACAGCAACACCAGCGTGCTGACAGTCACGTGAAGCTTGTCTGCATCCTGGAAGAGACTGAAGTTCACCCCGCGGTCTCCGTCGCACCTCCGCAGCACTTCATCTCTGAAGCCAAACAGGGCTTCCTTGATGTGTTGCCTGGCAACGGGGATGGAGATGAAGTGCGTGAAGGGCTGACGCATGCGTACAGACAACAGTAGCAGCTCTATTCGCGTGCGAGCGGACCGCACTCCGTGTAGCTCTGCACCCACTATTAATATCTCCCCTTCTTCGCCAGATTTCGGAATCGTGATTCTCGTTTTCGTCTCACTTTCGAGTCGTTTCTTCGTTTCGCCTTTTTTACCTATCAAGTATTTGAAGTAGGGGCTCGGTACCTCAAGACAAGTCCTATAACCAGTATCCGTCTGCTCAATGTCTGCATCGTCAGAACCTCTTGCTTCCTCATCCTTTGTTACCCAACCACTGGTTTCTGGGTAAAAATAAATGGTAGCATTTATGGCATAGTGTAATACTACAATCTATCGCAGCACTCGAAATGGCAAATGCAGTTTGGTCATAATGGTACTGAATAAACAACGCCCACCTATCTAGTTGTTGCTGTGCTGGGCAGCCTGTGTGATCAGACCCACTCAATACTGATTATAAATAAATCCAGCTTTGCTGCTATTTCCTGTTTAGTGCTGCCTGTTTTCAGTATGCTCTCTATGGCCACCTTTGCAAAAACCTATAAAACTGTTGTAACCGCTTTCACACCTATGCACAAATTTAAGAGAGATTTCAACCATCATTTCTTGTGGCCAACAGTGACTGTGTACATCACATAAAAAACCCTAAAAAACACGTTTGGCTGCATGATGGCAGAAAACTCACTTTGTACTTAGGTGGGAAATTATTGCATATTAATTCTAGTTTATTGCATTTTCCGCTACTATTTAACCTGTCATTTCTGCTGGAAATTAAGTCTATCAGAAATCAACGAGTGATGTAGTTTAGGTAGGCTGTGCATGATGTAACACATGATTAAACCCCAATTTTAGGGTTTGAACTGAAGGGCAGCAAGCTGCAGTTTTGCTGTCTACAAGGGTCAGTTTGCTGCCTGCTCTGAATTTCGGCAGCATATACTTGCAGCCAAGAAACTCCTAGTTAACCATGGTAAAAGCATAACAAAATTCTGCCTGGGTGAATAAATTTGCATGAAGAGTTGATCTCGTACTTCCTCTTTTAGACTAGCTCCTTTTTCAATACAGTGTCAGTTCTTTGGACTATGATATGTAGAATATTCGTTATAATATACGGTTAAAGATGCATTCCCGCGCATATTTTTGTGACAAACCACGTAAAAACGTACGTATAATTAACTCCACTACACTATTAACTAACGTTAGCGTTTGAATAAATAAAACTGCTTAAACAATATGCTATCCAGTGCCGGCCCCCCCACTCGAGTCGCGAAGGACCGCATGCGCGTTCCCAAAACCTTCCGGTAAAGGGGTATTTTTTCGCGCCGACAATACATCCAGCCAAGAATTGTAAAAAAAGGGTGTGTATTTGACTTTTGCACACGGAATTGCCTTTCAAAAAAAGGGCGTGTTTTTTCTCCTCTCTCTCTTTTATCTTGAATATTCATGAGAAACTTTATAAAATCCGCGGATCAAATTCTTGAACATTCCTGCTAGTTTTGAAAGCTCATTCAGGATTATTTCCATTTTGAAAAATACAAACACTATTGCACCTTTCTCCCTAATCCCATCGATCACGTGAACTCCTACACTACGTAGTTGTGTTAGACTGGCTACCCGGTGGACAGTTCCACACGTAGCACTTAACGTCACTACGTCAGTTCTAGCGTGAAGGATACGTTACGGAGTTGAAGGTGCTGCGAACGTACGGGTACCGGTCCTATACATAGTTGCTTTCCGGATTTAGGGGGTTCTCCATAGCTAGGAAATACCCGCCTCAAAAACGCCCGCGAAGAGGGGCGTTTCAGAAATTTTTCGCATGTCCTGAGTGGGGTGCTTTCTATAAGGGAGGGAACGAGCATATGCGTACCCTATATATTAACATCTGAGTGGGGGGGCCGGATCCAGTGGTAAGTCATCCAAGTGTAACTGAAAGTGTTAATTTTTTTTTTTTCGAAGATGCGCAAAATATGGAGCACTGGTCCGGCGGCATAGAAGAGACATACGTGCGGCCGAGAAAAAAGAAATAGATAAAATGGTGGATCTGCCGCCCATAATGCCAATCCAGCGCATGAATCCAAAGAAAACGACTAGCGGTGCCAGAAAGTGTTCCTACCTCAGCTGGTTTGGCCATGTACGACCGCGCAGCTATATATGATCTATTTTCATTGCAGCTGTCCCTTATTTCCCAGTCCGCTGCCCGCCTTGGTATGAACAGTACTAGTAGCAGTGCCATCTAAGCATTTGTAACTCGTTACATGATGTGTATTCGGAGTAAATAACTACGTTGTGTTGAAATGTATATCGAATGAACAGCGGTAAATTCGGTGACATGCGGGCTGACATATTGTCTTCCCACTACGCATTGCGCAGCACGACCTGTAGCACGGTAGACTGTAGACGGTATAGGGGGTAGACGGTAAACTGGTACGCTGCCAGTTTGCTGCATGTCTATGGAGCTTGTGACAAGGGCTTGGAAACATTCTAGGCCTATTTTCACACTTGACATGGATTCTTCCGCTCACTCAATATAGATGAAATAGTTCTATTTGTATTTTTATTTTCACAATAAGTGCACGAAATTTAATGAAGTACAGCTTGTGATCTTTTATTTACATACCAATTACCATATCGGATAAACACAAAAGTTTGCTTCGAACTGTTCGATTACCAAACTTAACCACTTTTCGAGCGATCGGCATAAATAGGAGAATTCGTATTAAGTAGTGATCGCCGTCTTCGTGTAAGTAGCCCGCTTCGCGGACGGGTATCGTTTCACTCACTATAAGGCGCAAACGTCAAGCCTATATTCGCTCAACGGAAAAACAACTCGAAAAACGCGTTTCGCCGTGGTTCTGTATCATGGCAGCAAGAGTCGACGCACCAGCACAGCCATAGATATGATATAACACATGTTATATGATATCAGAAGTAGATAATAGGGAACTTCTGATGATATCTATAAGCACATGCTGCCTTCTAGTCCGAGATTCCTTTGACCAATGCGCACACCGACGATTTTGGTGGATTTGGTGTGGGTTAGGTACACACCAAGGTAGGCTAACCCACACCAAATCCACCAAAATCGTCGGTGTGGGCATTGGTCAGAGGAATCTTTCTAACCCACACCAAATCCACCAAAATCGTCGGTGTGGGCATTGGTCAGAGGAATCTCGGACTAGCTGCCTTCATAACCTTCAGCGCTTGGCAACACCGCATAGCAACAAGAGACGCGTCACAACAACGCCGCAGAGCGGCAAAAGTAAACGCTGTTTGAAACATTCGATCGGACCCTTTCATTTTGTAGTCTAAAGGCCCGCTTAGGTCGGCCTTACGACCTAGTTTCCGACAAGATTTGAATATCGTACGCCAAAAACCGGCCAGATCGCCGATAAAAACATCGGCGACCAAACTCGACATGAGTTCTCTTACGATCGAAAATACGGTCGCCGACTGCGATCACAGGAATAGAACATGTTCTATTTCTATGCGGCGGTCGGCGACAAATCATGAGTGGCAGCCAATCACCGCAACGTGTCAAGTCACATGATTAACAAAATGGCAGCCTACACAGCACTCGTCAGCAGTTTACAAGGATATTGCACAAACCCTTTCTCAAATATATATTATGTTTTCCATATATCACATTAAATTTTTTCTGCACATGATTATAACGATTTTAAGAAAATTGAGGATAGATTTACGAAGTTACCTGATGTTTACTGGTAAGCACCATTTTGTTGGTCACGTACGTGACTCGTTTTATGTAGACTGGTCCCGGCGTCAAGCTTGCTCTGTTTGTGCTAAAGAACTGCTTGTGCTAGTACAAATACTGGGGCCGCGAACCCGTCTACGTTTCCTGTGAGAACGCTACGATCTGATCGACGATGTATAGCGTGAAGGCACTTCAAGTCGACGTGAGTGTTGCTACGCTGCTAATCGGCGATAAAGTAGTCACCGATAGTCAAATCGTAGGGCGACCTGAGCGAGCCTTAAAAGCTTTGAATGAACGTATTCCTGAGTTTGCCTGATTTTATGTTTGGCAGTTTGCCGCTTGAAAGTTCGAGGCACGGCACCTTTAAGTAGCTCTCTCTATGACTATGTACTATGTAGCCCTTCGCTTGGCCACAGGCATAAGAGTGTGTGCCTGTGTGGTCCGCTCCACCTATACTAGTATAGTGTATAGTGAAGGGGCAACGCGGAGTACAGGTTAACAAGTAGTAAGTAGTAGTAAGTATACCTTCTTCATCCCATCGATATGAACCGCTGACGCTGTCATCAACAACATTTACTCGGTAGCAACGGCCTTCTATCCACATAAGCCGTGGTCTAAGGACATCCATTATCTCAAGCTGAGTACTTGAGCGCAGGTATAATACTCACAATGGTGAGCCGTGAACGTTCAATGCTCAAGACTTTATTAAATGAATACACAGGGGCACACATGTACACCTTTTAAAAACTCAACAGGAGGCTGCCATATTTAGAAGTAACAGCGCCATCTGTTGATTACGAGAAGCATAAGTGAAAAATATCAAAAAGTTCGTTCGAGCAAAAATTTATGGCAGCACGCGACACACACAGACCACTGAGCTGGGTCATTTAGTGAACGAGAACCTCATTACAACTACAAAGATGTTTTTTCTGTGAAATATCCTCCATGTTGTCATTGAAAAGACAGATTGCTTTGGAACAGAATTTGAAAAGAACAGAAAACAATTTGTTATAGAGGCATTTCGACGGATTCATGATGATAACCTGTTTCCTAGTATAGAGATGAAAAGCAAGAAGATATGAAATTTCATTAAGCAAATGTTTTTTATTTAGGCGTGCGTGTTTGCTAATTAAATCACTTCACACAAGACATTTATGATCGTCAATGATGACAATGCATGATGACAATGATGACAATGCGCATTCGAAAAGGAGATGCGGTTGTGTGACCTGTCACGGGCATGTTGGGGCCAGTAGCAGTGGACCGACGGAATTGGAGATCTCTGTCACTGCCTTCCTTATGTGCCATATCTAGGCACCTATGAGGGATAACACAATTACAATGCATAAATATAAATTAGACATTCTATAAACACACCACTGCACCAATCTCGTACCTAAAAGCCAGTCGTACAACATGCTCCACTTTCGCTACCTAACATTATTTACAATTGAGCACTGGGCGAACGAGCTTGTCAAATCTAAACCTTCCATGATGTCGTTCACGTCATCAGCTGCCTCAGACTCATTACTGGAGCCCTCTGCCTCGTTCCTGGAGACAGGCAGTGTGAGGCGGAACTGCAGATCATCCGAGGGAATGTTGCCGGGGTGCAGCCGCTCGTTGACACGCACCTCAGCGCCATCACGCAGCATGATGAGAAGCACGTGGGCAATGTTGCGCGAGTCATCCAGCCCGCTGTGATGCCGACCCTCCAGCTGCAGCCCTAACAGATCGAGCATGGTCGTCATCCTCACGCGCGACACACCGTAGAAGTTGCCAAAGGTCTTGCGGATGTTGATCCACTTCTTCGCCCACGTTGGGTAAGAGATTTGGCTCAGCTCACACTGGCCACGTAGAAATCGTGCCATGTCCCAGGGGCTGCAAATAAATTAGTGTCATTTAGCATACCACGTTTAGATTCCAAGGCCAACCTTTTCATTGCCAATACACTGTTGTGCCTAAAAATTTAACTGGCCAGCAAAATTTGCATGAAATTCAGAAAGCGTCATACAAAACTAAATCCTGGAAAAAGGCCTATATGCCAAGTTGCAACATTTTACTAAAACAAGTCCCAATATATAGTACCTCACACAATTATGCACCTATTCAGGAACATTTCACCAATTCATCAGGAACATTGGCACCAGCTAATTTAACATATCACAAAAGCTCTAATGAACATGGATAAATCAAATAAAAAAATAGAAAATATATAGAGTATATAACATACAAGAGTACTCGCAATTTTGAATGTCTTCATATATATGGAATGGTAAACGGAGATGTGACAATACGTGCTTACCCATCAGTTACAATTGCAAAGTCCGCTCCTACTCCTAAACCGTGCTGCAACATCCAGGAATTCACACGTTTTAATACAGCTGGAAAGTAGTCTGCCACTGAAACCTGTTCCTGTGTGATTCCTGTAAGCTCTGTGCAAAACTCTGACAACACCGGATGCAGAACTGGACGCACAAATGCATGAAACTCATCCTCCTGCAAAGAGAATCAACACCATTCATACCAGGGTTCTCCAAGAACACTTATAGCCTGGCGGCCCGCCAGGCTATCGTCGAGCCCCGCCATCCTAAAATGCACCCGCCACTCTAAATATCATAGCCCCCGTAGCACGCAAACTGCCTTCGGCGATTTGCAACTAGGACCGTAAAGGCAGCAACCGCCATGCTATAATGAAAAAGCTTCGAGAACCCTGCATACTGTACGTTATTGTTATATTTTCAGTTTAATTCTGATGTAACCCGTTTCCCACAAATTTAAAAGCATTCCCTCGAAAATTTGAATTGTGCTGGTGATAGATCCATGTGCATTTACATTAATCACACACAATTACAATTACCAATAACAGTGTATTCACAGTACTCACAATTTCCAATGTCTTCACATTAACAAGCACAATAGGAAACTCAATAATCTCATGCTTGTAGCTGGGTTTGTTTGTGCTTTCACATGTGGCTTCATAATCGATTACACACAGATAGTCGTAAAACACCTCGTGGTGAAGTGCATAAGGATGTGTACCGCCTTTCAATTTTTCAAGCTTCATTCTCTTGTAGAAATGTTTCAACCTCTTCTTTAGTATTTCCTTGCTGCCTCTGCAGATAGAAAAAATATAATAATCAATTCCTAAAATTATCAAAACATTCTGAAGACATGATTACATTTTGATCCAGATTTTGGTTACTTTTGTAAAACGTTTAATAGCATTTCGAGCATCCAAATTTTAAAACCAATTCAGATTTTCTTAGGTATGATTGTTGAACAGAGTTGGGTTCTAAATACACACACAACATAACAGAATAAGGAATACATTACCTTTCATCCATTTTCAACTCTGCTAACTTTCTTTGAATATCATCCATCTTCATTTTGTTGATTTCTCCATTTTGAAGTGAGATCATCTTATAAACTGGATTACTAAAATCCGAAGTCATCATGCATTTGCGATGACTTTGTACAGTTACCCTGTCTTTTGCTTTAGCATCCTATAAAATTAAATCAAGTATGAAAAATATATAGAGTTGTTTATTATGCTAAATTATTCCTCATGTTACACCAATAGGCTTAAACATTCATAAATACACAAATTACATGTTTAATTAACATGTTTAATGTGAATTTTGGATAGTACATTTCTTTATTGAATGCGATATTTTCTCGACAAAATAGCGAAATATATAGTATATATTATATATTCCTAATATAAAGTACAGATATGCTCACTGTAGTACATGTACCTGGCTGAAATCATCATCACCCTAACCTAAACATAACCAAGGTCTAACTGTGTAGTGCTTCACTCCACAACAGATAAAGCAAAGAGCTACGTACATTGGTAGAGATAATTTTACGTTACAGCGTAACCCTAACATCATAAAGTTGAATAGAACAATACATTACAGCGATGACAAAGCTTATCTAGTCTAGTTTGTGTCAAACAAGTTGTAATGTTGTGTAACTCACAATGATCAACATTATTGACATTGTATCTATTGTCGCTCATAGGGTCTATGTCCCCCAGGGTACTGCCGGAACGTACCCTGGGTACGGTCCGGTATACAGGAACGTACCCTGGTAACTATCTAGCTGACATGGTTAGGGTTAGGGCAGTGGCGTAGCTAGGATTTTTTCAGCGGGGGGGGGGGGGCACTGGGGAGGCCTTACATTTTCGTGGGGGGGGGGAGCAATATATAACTTTTCTTTGTATTATACTGTTCTAATGGCATTGTTTTTAATTCAATTTTTTTTA